TTTTTTTTTCCAAGTTCTTTCTTTTTGTTTTTTAGAAAAATAAATTCACTTCAAAAGTGTTGAAAGCTTTATTATGTGATTTTCAATTGATAATTTTGAATATTCAATGATGACTATGAAATTTGAATAATGTCTATATCTGTATGAATAGAAACCCACAATTCAATAATTATTATTGAGTAACTGCAAAATAAGAAATTATGTTATGTTATTCAAGAAATAAATGATTAATTTAATAATAATAATTTATTGGTGATTAATAATCATAAAAAGAATAAGCTAAATATTGAAGAATTATTTATTCAAGTATGACAATACAATAAATTGAAATTGATTTATTTTCTCACACTAAGAAATAACAATTTGATTAAACAATCATCATTAATAATGGTGTGTTTCTTCTATTTTCAATTAGTTTTATTAAGAACAACTTGTGATACTCAATATATCTCTCAATACAACTTATTAATTTAAACATTGACATTAATATTATTTCTTTGTTTTCTTTTTCAGATCTTTTGTTACATTGTCATTATGATATAATACTAATATAATTTTATTTCTTATGTTGTTAAATGAATTTATTATAGAGACAGTTCTTTGAATATTATGAAAATAATTTGTGTCTTTTTTTACTTCTTTATTAAACAATTAAATGATGTAACAAGTGTACAACATCATAAACTGATTTTGAAATTATTTATATATTTTCTACCACATTATATTTTTATGAAATCCTTTTTCTTTCATTTTTTATATCATAAGATTTGTTGGTTATCTTTTTGTTGGTTATTTTTGTTGATTCTCTTCATTTTTTGCTTTGTCTAGTCTAATGAATGTCATTTTGAAACTTTAAATCGTCATTTTTCATTATTGGATATATTTATTTTTATCTTTAATATAAATAGAATAAGAGAAATAACGTAAATGGAGAATTAAAAATGTTTTAAAAAGATATTGGTTCATGATGTGTAGTTATTGTTTGAAGTTGAGAGATAAAACCAATGAAATAAAACCTTAGAAACATTTGAGAGTTATATTTGAATGAATAAGTACAATGAGAAAAAAGAGAAAAACTCATTGTTTATTGTTGCAAACGTGTTTATACTTACAATAACCATCTAAACACAATTCCATTTAATACTCAAGAATATTTATATAAATTATTCATTTTTATAGCAAGAGATAAATAAAGTGTAGTAGAATAACACACATTAACCAAGAAGAAGTTATCAAGTTTGCTGAAATTAATTTCCGAGAGAAAATAATTTTTTGTTATTAAGTTATAAACAACATTTTTGTGTTTTTCAAATAGTAAAAGAAAAAAGAATAGAACTAAAAGATTCAAGAATAACTTGAAAATGGAAGTACCAACAAAAGAACAAGTGTTTGAGAAGTATATGAAATTACTTGAAAAGAAAGGATATCTTAAAGATGTTTCAGAAGAAGAAAAAGAGGAAAAGGTAAATAAAGCCAAAAAGTATTTTGAAGAGCATTATAATAGTTTAGAAAGATTCCCAGCTGTTAAAATACCAAAAACAAATGAAGAAGTTACAGAAGAAAAGAAGAATGAAGCTGAATCTCATAAAGCAAAGGGAAATGACTTATTCGCTAAAAAGGATTATGCCACTGCTATTTGTGAATATTCAAGGGCAATTGAATGTGACCCATTTAACCATATTTATTATTCAAACAGATCAGCTTGTTATTGTTATTTAAATAATGATGAATTAGCTGTTAGAGATGGGGAGAAATGTGTTGAACTGTGTCCAACATTTGCTAAGGGATATAGTAGATTGTCAGCAGCGTTAATGAAAATGGGGAAACTTCAAGAAGCAAAAGAAGCCATTGATAAAGCCTTGAGTATTGAACCAGAGAACCAAAACTATTTAAACAGTAAAATGGATATTTTAGATGAATTAAGTAAAGTTGGAGTGAAAGAAGAAGTGAAAGAAAAACCTAAAGAAGAAACATCTGAAACACAAAACCAACCAAGACAAGAATCAAATCAACAACAAGGAGGATTTGCTAGTTTATTAAATAATTTAATGAGTAATCCCGCTATTCAACAAATGGCACAAAGTATGATGAGTAATCCTGCAATGATGAATATGGCACAAAGCATGATGAATAATCCTGCAATGATGAACATGGCACAAAACATGATGTCAGGTCAAGGGTCTATGAGTGATTTATTAAATAATCCACAACTAAGACACATGGCAGAACAAATGGCAAATACACAACAACAACAACCAGAAGAAAATAAACCAAATCAAAATGAAGAGATATAATTCAAAGAAAAACAAATGAAATTGAATTAGTTTGTGTCATTATATAGTTCTTGTAATAAATTAAGAATTTTTGGAATATCCTCAGGAGTTAATTCTTGTAAAGGAATATTTTGATAGTATTGTAATAAGAAATCATCACTATTTGATTTTGATTTTTGGTCAATGAGTTGTTGAATCTTTTGTAATGATAATTTTTGAGGAATAACTAAGCCAGTCTTTGGAATTGTCCATTTTGAGATGACATAGTTTGGACAATTAATTTTTCATATTCTTGTTGTGATATAGATTCTTTTAATGAATTATAACATAATGTTTGAACAAAATCTTTACAAGCCATAAAATTACAATAATAATATGACAATTCACTGTTTATTTGCATTTGCATTTCTTCAATATAATAAATTGTAGAATCAAAATATGGTAATTGAGCTTTTATTGTTAAAAACAAACATAATGGAAATAATAAATCAGCAGTCACATTTGTTTTTTGATAAAATCGAATCATTTGCTCTAATATTTTAAAGGAAGAAAATATATACATTACTTTTTCTAAAGGAGTACATACAGAGTCTATTTTCAATAATAATGTTAATGCACTTTTCATTCCAATTTCATTTAATTGTAATTCTGTACCAACATGTTTTGGTTGAATAAATGAATGTGTTCTTGATAAACAAAAACAAATATCATCCCCATCAATTTGTTGTATACATTGACCTTCTTTTAATGCAATCATTGGAGGCCAAAGATATTTAAAAAGTTTATTAATTAATAAACGATTCATATTATTTATGAAAGCATCTTCATTCCATCCATTCTTCCATATTTCTATTTCTTGTGCTTTTTGACATAAAATTTTAATACATCCATTAATATATCCTTTGCGTTTCTTAATTGGTTTATTAATAATTAATTCATTAAATCTATTCACAAAATTATCAATAATTTGAAATAGTCCATTACTTTCACTTAAACTTAATTTCATAAAAAACAATTTCATGTCTTCTTCTTGTTCAATCATTGATTTCTTCATTTCTCCCTCAAACTCCCAATGAAAATATTTTTGACCTGTTTCTTTTTCAATTTTACTAAGAGTTGGAATACTTCTTCTAATATTATCTAAAGCTACTTGTAACTCATTATAAATAGTAAATTCATTTTTCTCTCTAAATGTCATATTGAATCCCCTTCTCCATCCCCAACAACATGAGTCAAAATAAAATACTGATTTAGTGATAAGTACAGGTAATACATATGATTTGTCAACAATAATATCATCATTCATTATTTTTACACTTGACACAGCAGAGGCATTAAGATCATGGAATGATATCATTCTATCAGATAAGTCACGTTGACTTAAACGAGAAATAGAAGCTTGATGAAATGGATATAATTTAGCATGTGATTTATCAACTTTCCCATAAATACCATTTAATGTAATAAAATTTCCATTAGAAACATTTAAATATGCTGAATGACAAAGAAAGAATTGAAGAGTTAATGGAATGTCTTGTAATACATTTGCTTGAGGGAGAAATAATACAGCATGTGTTTGTATTAAATATTGAAGAAAGTCATAATACTTTTTAGAGAGAAAAGTATAAACACGATCAATTTGAGAAGAAGAAGA